TCACATATACTTACATAAACATTTCTTTTTACTACATTGACAATACTTTCTGTTTTTAAAATTGTAGAAATCAGAGGTAGGACTATAATGGCTGCTATAAATGATTTGCGAGCTCGCATTGATATACTTCATGTAACCATCATAAAAATTTATACTGCAACATGTTCTCCTGTAGAGACATCTGATAATTTAATTGGAATTCCAACTCTTCCATTCTTTCATTTCCTTGAAAGAATTGGATGACTGCGAGAATTTTTTATCACAAGAAGAAAACAAATTGATGATGGTAAGATATATATTTTATCTGTTCCTTGTTGTATATTTCAGACATTCATTACAGTATATATATTTCTTTTTTCTTTTATTGTGTATCACAGGTTGGACTTTTAGCAGAGCATGGCAAAGAAGATCTCAAAAGCTCTATATATGATGCATAAACTAATGACAAATAAAGTTGCTGTAAATTTTAATTTTGAAGGGATTAATAGAGAAGGAACAACCATTAAAAAGAAAAAGTTTCAAAATACTTTATCTCATGGTCTTGTTATTGGTATGTTTTCGTTATTTATATGTGCTTTAATGAATATTAAATTTTATATTTGGAAAAATTATATTAAATTTATAAATCGTCATTTCTTTAAACTTTTTTTAGATTTCTTAATTTTATAAATCTCTTATCTTATTTACAGCTGCTCATAAAAAACATAGAAATGACAGAGACCTTGAGTTCTTTTATAATAAAGAAACTGCAGATTCTTATATTGAAAACTGGTTGAAGAATGCAAAAAAGCGTTTTAAAAATGAAGAGCTAAAATCAGAAAAAAATCAGCAACGAAATAAAGTTAACAATGATGAAGAAGTGCAATAGTCTCTTTTGCAAGATTTTTAGAAGTAGATTTATAATGTTTTAATTATATATATATTTTTTATTTAAGTTGTTAAGTTGTTAAGTTTCAAAAACATTTCAGAAGTTTATTTTTACAACGATTTGGAGAATTGTCAGAACTTTCATACATTTAAGATAAACGTCCTAATGACCGGACTTGTACCTATGTTCACTTATAATTTATTATTATTAAATTCAAATGCTTTTTTTATCATAATATTAAAATTTAATTATAATCTTAAATATTTAAAGATTATAATTAAAATTTAATAATTACAATGAAATTTTTATATTATAATAAAAAAGCATTTGAGATTAATAATAAGTTTTTGTGTAAGTGTTTAGACATAGATACATATTTAATCACTTTTAGACATTTACCTTATTTGTACAAATTAATTTCTTTTATTTTTATATTCTCTTTGTAATATTTTATATTTCTTTTTATAATTAATCAGTATGACAATACATGTTTAATAAATATTATAATAAAAATTTATGCGTTATATAAAATAAAAAATATTTATTGATTTTTCTTTATTTCTATATTCTTATAGATCTCTGAGACTAATCTTCGGTCGGTTCTTATATTTAAGGCTATCTTAAGTACTGTCTTAAAATCTAATCAATCAATCAAAGAGCCGTATCAGCATGAGCCATAAGAGCATCTTAAGATATTACTTAAAACAGTCTTAAAATAAGAATTGATTATAAATACCGGCTTAAATTAGAATTCTTCATTTGGAATTCTGAGCAGAGATGCTTTAGTCAATGGGCAAACTCTTAAGATGGATCTAAATTTACGTAGATGATAGAAAGATACCAAAATTTCTTTTATATTTGTGTGGCTATTAGGGTAAAGTGAAGCTTTTTCGTCTACGGGGCTATTTGTTTAACGATAATGCTTATCTTTCTGAACAGCACATATTGATTATTTGAAGCTTATGCTTTATGCTCTTTTGATTTTGAAGTCCAGAATTTCTTTCTTGAGCACTGTTCAGAAACATAAATATTATCGCTAGACGGAATAGTTCCGTGGATGAAAAAACCTCACTCTATCTTATGTGATATAACGATGTAATATCCATGTTTAATCATGGAAATCCATGAATCAAATATTCACGTCGTGAAAATCCAGTGAAATATCTACATGGATATTTCAAGAAAATTCTTAGAAGAATTGATTCGAAATATCGATGAGATTTCAACGTGGATTCTAGTACCGTTTTTGAGAGGATCATCCACTCGATTGGTAACGTAGATTCCATCTGGATAGTCCACGTGATAAAAACGTGGATTCCACGTACTTGTTCTCATCGGGTAAACGACCAAAAATGGGCGTTCAAAATAAACTCAGTTTAATTGCGTTTAAATTTTTAACGAAACTTGGTGGGAACGAAAAATGTGCTATAAACTGAGATTACCTAAATATCAGGATTTCAGATTTAAACCGAATTGATGAAATCAGGGGGTCGATCATGTAACTTTTTTCCTAGGGCGGAACGTGAAAAGTGAAAAGTTTCACGTGAACTTACGATCATGTACGATTTTGCGAGATCATGTAATTCTCTCAAACGTGAAAATGTGAAATTTTTCACGTGAACTTTTTCACCATGTACCTTGGTGACGGAAAGGCAAAAATCTAGGGAATTAATAAATATGCTTCGAAATTAGAGAAGATTAGGGCTGCGTTAGGATTAAGTGTACGTAGTACATATACAATTGGTTATTAAAAGATATATATTGTACCAATAAAATAATTTTCATTAGCTATAAAACCTATGAAACTATGTGATTTCATTTTCCACACATCCAAGCTATATACATAATCGCTGAAAAGTTTCACGTGAAATGTCAAGGTGTGAAAAATGAATGGTAAAAAGTGAAAAATGAAAAGTGAAAAATTTTAAAGTTACATGATTGACTCCCAGGCATTAGTGATACAAGTGGACACAAGTATCGTTCTTCTTCTTTCTTGGCTTTCAATGATTAACAAACACAAAATGATACTTGTGTCGACTTGTGTATCATTAAATGGAAAGCACCCTATATATTTTAGTACTAGCGACACAGTTTAATCATAGACATATGAAATATATAGACCATAAGATAGAGCATAAGCTATCACTTTAGACAAGGGGGAGTTCTGATATACGGGACGTTCCAAGGGGCACTCCAGAACACTCGTCTGATATTCGGTTCATTTCGAGTAGATTTGGTAACATTCGCTTTATTTATGTTTTGTGCTCCATTTGAATAATATTAAATGAAAGTTTGAAGAAATTAGCTGTTTGAAGTAAAAATATATTAAAATAGTAATGAGTTTTTGCATTGTATATAATTGTAAAAATCGACATAATAAAAATTACAGAATTTGCAATGAATTTCATCATGCCATCAATGTTTTTAAACAATTTAAGAAATAGACTTTGACCGCATGCAATTCCAACACTAAATTTTTCAGTAAATGTAGAATTAGAAGATAAAAATTATCTTCAATTTTATTTAATTCTGTACATTAATGCAATAAATTTTTATAATATTAATATTTCTATCTATCTAATAGTACATATGTAAGCTTTTATGTTGTAATACATATTATATCTTATTATATTATATCTTATTATATTATATGCATGTAAAATATAAAATATATGTAATTTACTTTTGAAATGTTTTATTATTTTTATTATTATATTTCATAAATAGTAAAATATAATAAAGAATGAATTATTTAATTATTGGTTATTTTATTATAGTATATATTATAGTATAGTATATATTTAATTTTATATATAGTATATATATAAAATAATATATAATATATAATATAGTATATATTTAATTTTAAGACATTAATATTTTATTTTTAATATTTCTAATTTTACGATGTTTATCTTTTGAAATTGGCGCTTTTTCCAATCAACTATGGCGAGGGGGTCACATGTTTCGCCTCAACATCAAAGATGCCGATGCTTATTGTCGTAACTGGTTAAACTGTGCGATGAATATCGGAACGCGGCCTGTGATTCGTGTCTCTTGCAATAGAAGTATCCTGTAATTTTTAACTTGTGAATTTTCCTTAAGCCGTGCAAATTGGGTGTTTTATCTCCACGGCAATTTTTATATTGTGTTATCACGCATTTTTGGTTATCGTTCACATAACTTCTTTTCGATAAATTACTTTTTCGTATGAATCGTGATCTGTTTTGGCTCCGCAAGGAGGCCACGGCTATATAATAATAGAAGAAGAAAAAGAAGATTTTTAACTTATTTCAAGATATACATTCAAACTTTGAGCACTCCTGGGCCCCCTTACTTTAGTAAACGGACACGCAATAGCATAGAGAGTTGATCGTGTATCGCAAATATCACAGTTTAATTATGTGGCATGAGTTCATCCACTGTCTTGGTCTCTCTTTGTGTTATTCGCATCGAGATTTGTGATACGGAATTAGAAGAAACTGCCAGTGAGCATTAACATCTTATTCGTATCTTGTTTACATAATACTTAGATAAATGTTAAGTTTACGGTGTTCATCCAATTTCAATAAAATTAGGCTTTATTCGACGTATTTTTGCATAAAACGAAAGACTTTGGCAGAAAAAGCTATCCCACGAACAGAGATATTAATCATTAAAGTTGATGATTATTTAGGTTAAAAAACCTATATCGATGAAATGTAGCCACATGCGCATTCAAAATACGCATGTTACTTGGTATTCATTTTTGAGTAACACTGGCGAAAGAGGAGAAGTGCAAGAGGAAGAGCAGAATCCTTTCTTCCGTCCATTATTTAATTAATATCTATTATAAAAATAAAAAGCAGTCCCCAAACAGTATGTATTGATCGTAACTCAGAAACGAGTAAGAAGAACAAGAAAGGCCCTCCTCGTCAAAGCAGCATATACTATGATGATTTTGCTTATAATTCGCGATATATTTTTTGCGTAAAGCTCTCACTGATCTTTATTTTTAATATAATATAGATTCAACTATTTAGTAAAACGAAGATTTAATAGATATATTCTTTGATCATTAAAATCCAAGCAATGCATTATAAATACACATATGTTTCAAATTCGTACACTTTTTGTATGCATATATGATCTCAGAGCATGTGCATATAGTTACATTCGTCGATTATAATAAGTTTTCTAACCTGAATAGGTGTCAAATTTAACAATTAATATTTTAGTTCGTGACAGAGCGACACGAACTAAGACGAACTTTTT